CCCCAAGCTGAGGAATGAAATACATTCTTCATTCCCAGCTTGCTTAGTAAGTAGTTATGTTGTGGTTTGCATAGTGCCTTTGTTAATAAGTCTGCAACTTGCTCTGTTGTCCTAGCATGTTGTGTTTGAATTAGTCCCTGCACAAGTTTCTCCCTTACAGAGTGACAATCAATGTCTATAATGTCTATATGTTTAGCTCTCTCGTGAAAGATTGGATGCGCAACAATTTGGATGGCTGCTTTGCTGTCATAGTGTAATAGCACAGGTAGTTTGACATCCACTCCTAGTTCTCTGAATAGTCCAACTAGCCCTACAATTTCAGCTATTGTGGCTGCCATACTTCTAAATTCTACCTCAGTTGAGCTCGTGGACATTGTCCATTGTTTTTTTTAATTTCCAGGAGACCAGTGCACCACCAAACTTTACCACATATCCAGTAACTGATCTTCTAGACTCCACACATGCTCCCCAATTAGAATCACAGTAAGCTACAAGATTTTTTCAACGACCAGTAGGCATAAAGAGTCCAAGTCCTGGTGTGGACTTAATGTACCTTACTACTCTTCTTGCAGCATCCATGTGAGAAACTTTAGGTGCATGCATATATTTGTCACAACCCGAAATTCTCACCTTCAAGATCGTGATGGCGCCTAACATTTTACTTGCTAGGTGTTGATTTTGTTGGTAAAATAATATATTGTATTTTAATATTATTTATTCATTGTTATAGGTTATTAATGACAAGCTTGATAAAGTTTTAGAATTCATTCGAAATTTTAATGAAGGAAGTAAATAGAAATACCATCATGGCTTGTTGAATGATGAAGATGAAAGGAATGAATTAAGAGATTGTTCCAGGTTTTCAAAGGAAATACGTGACAAAAGTAATGAACATGGAAATAGTGAACGTAATGAACCGAGAGATGATATTGATGGAGAGAGATATTCTAATAGAGATGATAATAATATTATTTTAGGTGATGCTGGTGGAGAGAAATATTCTAATAGAGATTCTGCTCATTTGTCGGGTGACAAACATGATGAACAAGAGGAAGATGTTGATTTACACAAACATGATGAATAGTGCAATAAGGTATTTGAGCAGAAATGAACTTCTATTTCAATGCCAGCAATCATGGATATTGAGTCAGTCCGCGGAGGACCAAATAAAGAAGCTGCTCATGAAGGTCGAGCACATTTTAGTTCAATGCCATTAGCCATGGATATTGATTCAGTTCATGGAGCCCAAAATAAAGAAGTTACTGATGAAGTTGCAGCATCTGGTGGAAATTTAGTAAAAGGTCCTTGTGATGAAGCAAGAGCAGACTGTAATCCAGTTGAACCAGTTCTCACAGCTGGTACATATGTTGATTCTATCATGGATAAAATAACTGATGGGACATATCCACTTTTTACACCACAGTGTAGTCAAGATGTTTTTCAATACAACGCACCTGCATCCTCAATGCCATCAGTCATGGATATTAATTCAGTTCATGGAGGACGAAATAAAGAAGGTCGTGATGAAGGTGCATGTCATGACCCAAAGTCCAACTAGTCGTGATGGCACCTAACCTAACCCGTTAGGTAATTCAATTACCAACTATCCAATCCCAATAATAATAATTAAAGCAATTTAAGTAAATAAAGGTCTTAATCTTATACAATCTTCAAGAACTAGTAGTACAAATCATGAGCTTCTAAGAATAGAGTTTACAAAGCGGAAATAAAATAAATACATAATCTGTTTGAATAGTACATAAACAGAGCTTTTATAAATCTAAGGCTACCATGAACAAGAGGCAACTACAACAGGAACGCATGTACATCTTCAAATTTCGCAACCATCGAGCACAACAATAACAACCAACATCAGCACGCAATGTGCAGAAGTGTAGTATCAGTACAACCGACCCCATGTACTGAGTAAGTAACAAATCTAGCCTTAGGTTGAAAGTAGTGACGAGCTTCTACCAAGGTCGGGTCCAAACCAATAGTCCACAACAGTCCATAACAACTTAAGACAAATAATACCAGAAGTAACTCGGAGATAAAATGCTCAGCTAAATCATGATTTCAAAATTAGTTCTTCCTTTCAAGTACATCAGTGAAAAACCCAAATTATTTACTGAAGTATCCAAAAATATGAATAAGTTTGAAAACAATAATTTTTCCCAAAAATCCTTTCAATAATAAATGAGATGTTTCATTTTTCTTCCAGATAACCCGTGTAAAAACAAATGCATCACTATGCCCATCTGTCAAAATATGTGAGAAAATCATCAATGATGTGATGCTACACAACATGAGAAAAAAATACATCTCTATGCCTGTATATCATGTGTGCACGCCAATGCGATGCAACTCAGTGATAAAATCATAAACAACCCCTCGAGCAGACCTCACAATCACTCGTAAACAACCCCTCGGGCATACCTCACCATCTCTCATGCCTCCCAGTCACTCAGCACTCGGCACTAGCACTCAGTAGGTACCTGCGCTCACTGGGGGTGTGCACAGACTCTGGAGGGGATCCTTCAGCCCAAGCGCTATAATCTGCATGGACAACTCACGTGCGGCACGGACAACTCACTTGTTTTAATAATATCTGGATCCGCACGGACAACTCACTTGCTGCACGGACAACTCACGTGCTATAATAATATCTGGATCCGCACGGACAACTCACTTGCTGCACGGACAACTCACGTGCTATAATAATATCTGGATCCACACAGACAACTCACCTGCTATAATAATATCTGGATCCGCAGGGACAACTCACGTGCTGCACGGACAACTCACGTGCTATAATAATATCTGGATCCGCAGGGACAACTCACGTGCTGCACGGACAACTCACGTGCTATCATAATATATGGATCCACACGGATAACTCACGTGCTATAATAAGCCAATCTAGCACGCCGCCCGATCCCATAATTATCCTTACAATCAGGACCTCGGCCTCACTCAGTCATCAATCTCTCCAGTCTCTCGGGCTCACAATGTCATGAAAATCAGCCCAAAATGATGATATGGTGTATCAATAAATAATAACAGAGACTGAGATATGATATGTAATGACATGAATATGA